GACATTTATCGCATCTCTTCACATACTCGAACGTGTCTCTGAATAAAGTAGGCCAATAGAAACCCGACTGTAGTATCTTTGCACCTGACTTTGAAGCTCCAAAATGCCCAGCATATGCAGAAGAGTGACAATGTTTTAGAATCTCAGGTACTTCATCTTCAGGAATACATCTTTTGATTATTTGATCTGCGCCTCTTCTGTAGAGAATGGGATCCTCCCAAAAGTAATACTTCAGCTCTGCGAACAACTTCTTTCTTTGATGGCTAGAATACTCTGGTGGCGGGATGGACTTAGCAAGGTAGTTAATGATATCAGCGTACCATGGGACTATTTCTACTCCAAAAATTTGCTCATCTGGAAAGATTTCATTGATGTCTACTGACATCTCAAGTTCATCCCGTTCCAATCTTGATAGGTGGTCGGCTACCACATTTTCACTGCCCTTCTTATCCTTGATCTGAATATCGAACTCTTGCAACAACAATATCCAATGGATCAATCTCGGCTTAGCATCCTTCTTTGTCATAAGATATTTCAGAGCGGCATGATCTGTGTAGACGATGACCTTAGACCCAACAAGATACGATCTGAACTTGTCGAATGCATAAACCACAGCTAGCAATTCCTTCTCGGTCGTCGCATAATTGACTTGGGCATCGTTCAAAGTTCTACTTGCATAGTATATCACATGAAAGATTTTATTCTTTCTTTGTCCCAATACCATACCAACTGCATGATCACTCGCATCGCACATTAGCTCAAAAGGCAAATCCCAATCAGGTGACACAATCACAGGCGCTGTTGTGAGTTTTTCCTTCAAAGTAATGAACGCTATCAAACATTCCTCATCAAACTCAAAAGATATCTCTTTCATTAGCAAGTTGCACAGAGGCTTGGTGATTTTGGAGAAGTCCTTTATAAACCTCCTGTAAAATCCTACATGCCCAAGGAAACTTCGAACTCCTTTTACTGATGTAGGTGGTGGTAATTTCTCAATGACCTGAATTTTCGCCTTATCCACCTCTATCCCCTTTGCCGATACTCTATGTCCCAAGACTATGTGACAAGAGCGTTGCAAAGTCCAAATGGCATTCTTCGGTATGCAAAGGTATTATAGAAGCATGTGAAGGTGGTCTTCTCCTGATCATCCGGTGCCACTGGTATCTGATTATAACCCGAATACCCATCCAGAAAGCTGTAGTGGGAATGGCCTGCCAATCTCTCCAACATCTGATCTTTAAATGGAATAGGGAAATGATCTTTCCTTGTAGCGGTATTTAGTTTGCGAATCAATGCAAACTCTCCACCCTGTTACCGTCCTTGTCGGAATCAACTCATTCTTTTCATTCTGAACCACTGTAATTCCTCCTTTCTTGGGCACAACTTGCACTGGACTAGTCCATTTACTATCTGATATCGGGTAGATTATTCCAGTATCCAGAAGTTTGATCACCTCAGCTCTTACTACCTCCTTCATGTTTGGGTTTAGCCTTCTTTGACTTTCAACTGTTGGTCGAAAATTCTCCTCCATGAGAATTTTATGCATACATAAGGAAGGGCTGATCCCTTTGATATCAGCTATGGTCCACCCAATTGCTTGCTTGTTATCTCGAAGCACCCTAAGCAGTTTTTCCTCCTCCACTTCACTAACCATGTTTGAAATTATCACTGGAAGTGTATTGGACTCCCCCAAATATGCATATCTTCAGTGTGGGGGCAGCTGCTTAAGTTCCAACTTTGGTGGCTTCAAAATAGATGGCTGTGATTTCTCTGGCCCTGTCCCAAACTCCTCAAAGCATCATTTCCGCGTGTAAGGTGGGTTGGACTCCAAAAATCTTGCACACATTTCTATGTCCACAGAATCAGAATTTGTGGATTTAGAATGTGCAATGCAGGCTTCCAATGCATCTGATGGATTTTGCAGTGTAAATGACTCTTCAATCATTTTATCAATCATGTCAACCCTGAAATATCTGTCAGTCTCTATTGGCAGTTTCATGGCCTTGAAGACATTGAATGAAACATGTTCTTCTCTCAATCTCAGTATCAGCTACCCATTCTGAACGTCGATCAAAGCTCTGCCTGTGGCCAAGAATGGTCTGCCCAGTATTAAAAGAACATCTTTATCTTCTTCCATATCCAGAATCAGAGAGTCTGCTGGGAATATGAACTTCTCCACTTTAACCAACACGTCTTCAATTATTCCTCGTGGATGTGTCAATGATCTGTCAGCCAGCTATAAGGTCACTGTGGTAGCTTTAGCTTCTCCCAATCCTAATTTTCTGAAAACAGATAATGGCATTAAATTAATACTTGCACATCAAAATAAAATTCACCAATTGTACAAGGGACAGTGAAACTCCCTAGATCTTTCAATTTTGGCGGGAGCTTTCTCTGAATCCTGGCACTGCACTCCTCTGTTAGCATAACTGTCTCGTGATCTCCTAGCTTCCTTTTGTTTGATAGGATGTCTTTCAGAAATTTTACATAGCTAGGCATCTGAACCAGTGCTTCAGCGAATGGGATGTTGATATGGAGCTTCTTGAAGACCTCGAGAAACTTCTTGTATTGATGTTCCATCTTTTGCTTCTTCAGCCTCTGTGGGAACGGTATGGGTGGCTCATAGGGGTTCACAGCTACAGTTTCTTTATCCCTTGAGTTTCCTTTATTTGGTCTTGGTGTTGGCTCTTCTGTCTATTCTTCTTGCTCCAAAATCACTTCTACTTCAGGAGACACCTCTTCTCTGTTTGCCACGGGATTATTCACTTGTCTCTCAGGTAGTTCCACTCCACTTCTCGTTGTTATAGCCTTTACATGCTCTTTCGGATTGACTTCTGTGTTACTTGGCAGGCTGCCGGTGCTCTACCTGTTAATGCAACTGCCATCTGTCTCATCTGAGTTTCCAAATTCTTAATGGCTGTATTCTGATCCTGAAGAGTGGCTTCTGTCTTCTTCATGAATTGGTTGTTCACCTCCATATAGTGGTTAGTCTGTTCCATGAATTTGCCAAATATTTCTTCCAATTGAGGCTTCTTCTCTTGCTGTTGATATTGCCCCTGTGGCCTGTTCTAATTTTGGCTGCTCCAAGAAAAGTTGGAGTGTTTTTTCCAGCTTGGGTTGAAGGTCTCTCCATACGCGTTATTTTGCTGGCGTTGTCCCCATTGAACAAAATCTGCTTGCTCTTTTTCTTATGTCAAAATTGGGCATTCTGCTGTCACATGCTCAGCTCCACATTCTTCACAATTTGCCTTCTTTGTCTGCGCCGCGTTAGCTGACTGGGTAATGTTTTCCACCTTGTGAAATAAGGAATCAATCTTAGCGGAAAATGTTGAATATACATCCACTTCATAAACTCCTGGTGTCTTCTTTGGTACTGATCGTTCCATGGTCCACATTGCTGAGGTTGTAGCCATTGTCTCATATAACTTCAATGCTTCATCAATTGTTTTTGTGGATAATGACCCATTAGTTGAAGAGTCGACCATGCTCTTGAAAGCTGAAAGTAGCCCTGCATAGAAATATTGGACCTGAAGTCCCTTGCTAATCCCGTGGTGTGGACACTTCCTTAGTAGATTTTTGAATCTGTTCCAAGCCTCATCAAAAATTTTAGATTCACCTTGCCTGAAGATAGATATGTCGTGCTTTAGCTTTGCAATCTTGGTCGGTGGGAAGAACTTAGTACAGAACTTCTGAGCTAGGTCATTCCAGGTAGTAATGCTGGCTATCGGCTGAGAATCAAGCCATTCAATCGCCTTGTCCCGCAGAGTATGTGGAAACAGTCTTAATCTTATGGCGTCGTCAGAGATTCCTTGATATCTGAAGTGCTTGCACATCTCTAAGAAGCGCGAGACGTGCGTGTGCGGATTCTCTTCAATTCTTCCATAAAACTAATGTCCGTTCTGGAACAGTTGTATCACATTTGTCTTCAACTGGAAATTTGGCTGCCCGAACGGTGGATACACAATGCTGGACTGGCTTTGAATGATTTGAGGGGTCATGAACTCTCCAACGAGCATGTTTCCTTCATCTTCTTCTCCTCTTTCATTGGCTTGTACAACAGGATTGTGTTGTATGTTCTCCATCTGATTTCTCGCTGCTCTGTTTTCTCTTTGCCTTCTTCTAAAGCTTCGTTCGATCTCTGGGTCGGCTGGGAGTAGATCTCCTTCAGCAGATCTTGGCATGCACTTCTGCAATAGAATTCAATTGGAAGACTTAAGTAACTAAAATATGCACTTATGTAATAAAACTAACTACTAATAAAATAAAATGAACTAAAATAAATTAAAACTAAAAGTTCAAATTAGTGCTAAATTGAATAAAATTAAACAAATACTCAATCCCCGGCAATGGCGCCAAAAACTTGTTCACGATATATTTCTTTCGATTTAAAACTACCGCAAGTGTACGGTTCGTAACAAGTAATAAAGTGGATTTTAATAAGTTCGAATATCGTCCCTCAGAGATTGAGTAGTTCACTTCTATATAATCTGGCCTTAACCGAATCTAATTGAGTGAAAATATGGTCTAAATGCAAAAAGCCCTAATTTCAATTAAAAACCCTAACTTCACTAAAAACCCTAATTTCTATTGGAAATCCTAATTTCTCAATTAGAAACCTTAATTTCGAAATTTCTCTAATTTAAACGACTCAAACACTCAAGTAAATGAAATTATGCAAATTCAAAAGATAATTTATGGAAATTAATTAGACTAAAGTCACTAGGATCATGAATCCCCAATTGAAGTTATAAAAACCCTAATTTCATAAAATTAATAACCCGATGGAAATTTGCCAATTCAATATTCCTAATTCTATCCAATATATTCTCTCGATATATATTAGACCTATTCTTGCACACCACCAGCCTATATCTCTATGGATGATGCAAATATACAAGAATGCATGTGATTTTGTAAACAGTTTAAGAATTGCATAAAGCATAGGGGTATATCTCTATCCTCTATCGGACCCTATGTTAATTTACACCTTATCGAACCTATTCCACTTCTCTCGAATGTAAGAAATAATTCATCAACACTCACACAATTATTGGCAACTAATTGTGGAAGAAAATTAATGCATGTAAACCAATCAAATTATCCAAACGAGTCTTTATATTAAATTCGTGAAATATGGAATTAAAATAACAAACAACGGTTCATCGATCACCTAGTAATTGAAAACTTAGCCTAGAATATTCATAATTACAGAAAAAAATGAAATTAATAAATAGAAAGAATAGCACCCGTATGAAAATCCCTTGAATTCTTGAATAAAACCTTGAAAACCTGCTTGAATTCTTGTGAAATCGGCTTCAAGTTCGTGTTCCTTGCTTCCAAAAGTTGTATTTTTCCATTCTTTAATTCTTTTTTGTGAAACTGTAATTCTTGGAGCTTACCTTGTGTCTAAATTACTTTCATTTGTTTATGCTTTCTTCAGTTGCTAGATGAGAGGGAAAGCTTAAATGTACTACAGTTCCTCTAAATGTTAGATAGGTAAAAGAAGGAATCTTACCTTTAATTTGAATTTCATTTGTTGTTAAAAATTCATTCTTGAATCTTCATTTTGTCAAGGAGTGGGAGACTTGACATCGATGAAGAGCTTGTAGTGCAATTTGAATGCAGAAGAGATGGTGCTTTAAGGCCATCTTTCCATTCTTTAATTCTTTTTTGTGAAACTGTAATTCTTGGAGCTTAGCTTGTGTCTCAATTATTTTCATTTGTTTATGCTTTCTTCAGTTGCTAGATGAGAGGGAAAGCTTAAATGTACTGCAGTTTCTATAAATATTAGATAGTTAAAAGAAGAAATCTTACCTCTAATTTGAATTTCATTTGTTGTTAAAAATTCAATTTTGAATCTTTATTTTGCCAAGGAGCGGGACATCGATGAAGTGCTAGTAGTGCTGTTTGAATGCAGAAGAGATGGTGCTTTAAGGCCATCTTTCCATTCTTTAATTCTTTTTTGTGAAACTGTAATTCTTGGAGCTTAGCTTGTGTCTCAATTATTTTCATTTGTTTACGCTTTCTTCAGTTGCTTGATGAGAGGGAAAGCTTAAATGTACTGCAGTTTCTATAAATATTAGATAGGTAAAAGAAGAAATCTTACCTCTAATTTGAATTTCATTTGTTCTTAAAAATTCAATTTTGAATCTTCATTTTGCCAAGGAGCAGGAGACCTGACATCGATGAAGAGTTTGTAGTGCAGTTTGAATGCAGAAGAGAGGGTGCTTTAATGCCATATTTCCATTCTTTAATTCTTTTTTGTGAAACTGTAATTCTTGGAGCTTAGCTTGTGTCTCAATTATTTTCATTTGTTTATGCTTTCTTCAGTTGCTAGATGAGAGGGAAAGCTTAAATGCACTGTAATTTCTATAAATATTAGATAGGTAAAAGAAGAAATATTACCTTTAATTTGAATTTCATTTGTTGTTAAAAATTCAATCTTGAATCTTCATTTTGCCAAGAGTGGGACACCTAACATCGATGAAGAGTTTGTAGTGCAGCCATAATGGAAGAGTGATTCGAAATTCATTTGCAAAGTTTTGATTTTTCAATACAAATGTTTGTAAGTTCTCTCTGTATATGGGTGGAACTTTTAGATGAACCTCACATACATTGTGCTAGAACCATTAAATGATCAAGCATTTAGTTGTTTGATTCATTCACTTCCAGAGAATTGGATTTGTCCATTTGTTAACATTTAATTTGTTTCATTCTTTAGGGGCATTTGTCCAGTTCCTAAGAATTGGGAATTGATAGTTTATTTTTTTTTGGATGATGGTACAAAATACAGGAGGATGCTTTATTTTTGGATGCGTTTTTTGCTAACTAGAAAAAACTATTTGGATATGTTTTACATTTTTTGGTGGGTTAGGTAGGTGTTTTACTTATATTTCCTCCCTTAATCCTTTGTTCTAATAACTGATTTGATTTAATGCAATTTTTCCAATATTTATTGTATATTCAGATCCTGATGTACATAAACAACCAAGAGAAGAAGTGGAAATGACAGTGCAAGAATTATCCATCCCATCTCAGCATATTTGCTCATTGGTTTCTCTCTCTCTCTCTCTTTCTCTCTCTCTCTTTTGGTGTAAATACTGCATTGCATCCTTTTACAACTTATTTGCAATCCATTTTCATTTTTCGATGCATGCTTTATTATTTAATGGATCAAATATTTCTTACTCCTATAAACTTGCAATCTTTAGGTATGTCAAATGTTTCTATTATCATGTAGTGTCATATTCTACATACACACGATTTCTTTAATTTAATTTTTTTTTTTTTTTGTGATTTTCTTTGTGCAGTAATATCAACTTTTGAAATGATCACCTTGTTGGATAGAGCATTAGTGAGGCAATAATATACTTTCAAGACTTTTGAACAATGCAATAAATCTTTAACAACTATTTTTTTTTAACATCTACAATTTCTACACTGATAGAAACACAATAAATATAAAATTCGTGCAGCGCACGTGTCAACGACTAATATATATTAAAAAGAAAAAAAATTGTTTGCTACACTGGCGAACCTCCATGTGGGGTCAGCTGACCCAACAGAAATTTGATCTCGTAGCTTTAGTTTTTAACCCTTTGGGATAGGGAGAAGGTGAGATTTCTTGACCCTTTGGAATCTTCATTTTGGGCCCCTTCAAGATTTAGTCTTGGGGGATATATTTGCAGCCCTTTGAAATTGATAGAAAAATCTTGAGACTTTCGAACTATCCATTTCTTGCTGGAGTTAAACAACTTGTACAATGGATCATCAAAGTAGTTGTACATCTAGCAAAACTCTATTTGCCTACATTTATGTAGAATTTGAAGCCTCTCATTTCTCGTGTTGTTTTTGAGTATTGTTTTGGAGGTGATTTGCGTTTTTTGAGACATAAACCCTCATAAACACTTGTCTCTCACTTTGGCCACGTAGCACTTAGATATTATTATATTTGTGATTTTCTTGAATACTAAACAGACATTAGAATAAAATGTAATTTTCTTCATTGATTTGACTATCAGCTTATTATATTCACTTGAAAATGACTTACCTTTTATGAAATTTTTTCAAGAGAATACTCATTTTTTGAGACGATTATTGGAATACTAGACAATTCTAACAAGGCTTTGGTTTCAGGTGGATCGATCTGCATATTTTAGCCTAGAACCACCTATTATACTTCGGATATTTCGTAAATAGAACAATTCGGGTAATTGTAATTAATAGAATCAAACCCAAACCCGAACTGTCGATTTTGATTTGGGTTCAGTCCTGCCCATAACAATTATATATATATATATATAACACGATATACTCGAAAGTATTTGTGCAATGAGAAAATTCAGTTAATAAATCTTCAAGAAGCAAAATAGTGAAAACTAAAAACTACGAAAAGAGAAGAAAATTAAAGCATCAAAAATTAAATTACAATATGAGAAAAAATTACTTTTCTTAATAAGAGGGTGTTGGAACGCCTATTGTTGCTGATTGGATTGGAAAGAAAGTTGATAATGTAAATTTTTTTGAATTATTTTGTCGTGTAATATCACAATTTTGTTGCTAAAACAGCTTGTAAACATCACTCTTGTATTCATTTTCTTGATAAGTTGCCTATTGTGAGTGCAGATAAAAGATTTGGTAAAAATGTGTAGGTAAATGTAGCATTGTCCTTCAAAGTATTATATTTACGTATTTTTCCCCTTAATGTCTTTTAATCTTCTACAATATTTAAATATTTAGACCAAACAAAATAAAGTCAATCAGGGTGCTATCATTCTTTGAAGTATTGCCATAATTCAATTATTTTGGACACAATTACGTTGGAAATGACTTG